TGTATGTATGTGTGTATGTGTGTGTGTGTCTATATATTTAATAACTTATAATCACCAAATTTTAAACTTAAGTTTTATTCTATCTTGGGGTGAGTTGATTATATTTTGGGCATAGTCGAAACATCTGGGGTGATTTTTCTAATTTAAGGTATATTTCTGTTATTTATTATTATAGAAGAAAATGCTTTTAATAAGAGTTGTTTGTAATGTCATTCTCTATCATTTTTGTTAAATACATATTTTCTCTAAAATGAACCGTAAGGGAAAATGTTATAGGAAAGGGCAAAATTTGCGTTTTTCGGTATTTTGGTGGCCAGTGAAGACATAAAATGTGTTGAATAATTTTTATTATTGTTTTATATTCTAAATACTTTCTGATTACATGGACTGTACTCAATATTTTTGATAACTCCACAGGAAAGTCATGTGTTGGACAGATGATATATTTTTTTTTTGTTCGAAATTTTTATAAAAAAATGACAAAATGTCTAATACCCTTCAGTTTATACCCAGGTATATGAATGAATACTGAAAATTTCTTCAGTTCTAGAGTTATGGAAAGTAACCGATTTTTGGTTATTTACATTATTTCATAATACATTTTAGGAAAATACTGACTGATTCATTTGATATATAGCTGAGAGCGGAAAAAATACCATTTTAATATATGTATGGACAAAAAAACGTATGTTCTTGGTGAGTTTCTTATTTCGAGTCCCTTTTTATGCCTTGGATCTATAATTTCAGGTAAAAGACACTTGAAATAGAACGTTTTTAGTTTTTCTTCCACGTTTTCTTTCCAAAACTTATCATCTCTTGAAATCTGGAATTATAAGTATAAAGTTGGTAAAATATCATTATAAAAAATGTGAACAATTTTACCTTCTCCACAAGCATGCCCTTTGGTGTCCACACTATATTTATTTATTTATTTATTTGTCTTAAGTACACTACAGAAATATGAATTCCAAATGGCACAGTCTTAAAGCTAAAACAACAATTAAAGTATAATTATATATACATAAAAAAAAACCGAATATATAAATATCAAAACTCTTCAGAAATTTTAAAATACATTTAACGTCTAAAAAACAAAGTCTAACACCATACAAGACAAGAAAACAACCTATAATTTTAAAATTCGAGCATCCTCTTAACAGATAATAACGTACAATTAAAAATATCACAGTGAGAATAGTGCTTATTATAGTTGCACAAAAGCCTATTCATGAAAGCTCTTTGTCCATAGTTTGTACGATGGGTTTTCTCAAAGAATAGTTGTGACTGTCGAGTATGCCTTAACGGAACAACAAAATTTACTTGGCATAACAATTTTTCACAAATAATGTCTCCATTAATTATTTTGTAGAGCAAAAGTAACATTGCATCCCTGCGTCTCCGTTCAAGAGTTTGCATACCACAGAGTAGCAGTCTCGTTTCATACGATAAATCCCGATATGGAAAGCGAAATTTAAATAGCAAATATTTACAAAATTTGTTTTGAACTCGTTCAATTCGGTTGACATACATAGCTTGTGACGGAGACCAAACAGTACTGCAATACTCTAAAATACTTCGGATCAAACCACTGTACAAACATGTTATTGCTTTAGTGTCTTGTATATGCTTTGTGCTTCTTTTTATAAATCCTAATAGCCTAAACGCCCTCAGAATGATAGTATCAACATGTAAAGAAAAGGATAATTCCCTGTCGAATATTACCCCTAAATCATTAAATGTGGAGACGCTCTCCAGCGTAGTATTATTAATAATGTATGAGTTTTCGACGGGGTTAGAACGTCTGTAAAATGATATAACTTTACATTTTGATATGTTTAGTTCTAAATAGTTAGAACTGCACCAAGAGACAAATTGATCTAAATCAGACTGTAGGGCGTTATAATTAGGTTCCACAATATTTAAAATTTTTAAATCGTCAGCATATAAGAGACAATGAGAATTTTTAAAATAGGACACTACATCATTAATAAATAACAAAAATAAAATAGGGCCAATATGTGAACCCTGGGGTACACCCGAAGACACTGTCACTTCCCGCGACACAGAACCATTCACTGTAACACGCTGCCGACGGTTAATAAGATAGGATTTAATCCACTTAAGGTAATTGCCTGTTATCCCAATTTCAGATAGTTTCTTTAAAAGTAACTGCTGGCATACACTATCGAACGCCTTAGAGAGGTCGGTGTTAATTGTATCAACTTGGTAACCAGCTTCAACCGAAGAGGTAATAAACTCCTGATAAATAGCCAGATTAGTAGTAGTTGAACGGCCTCTGTAGAAGCCATGCTGCTCATCTATTATGTAATTCCTAAACGTATAAAATAATTCATCTGTTAAGATTGATTCCAACAGCTTAGGAATTGCTGATAGCATAGAAATGCCTCGATAATTTTTTATGTCTGATTTATCCCCGGACTTAAAAATTGGAACCAAGTTAGAATATTTCCATCTGGACGGGACATATCCTCTGTCGAATGATCTCTGGAAAATTGTGCACAGTGGTGCAGATAAAGCAGGGCACTTCTTGAGAAGGATAGGTGGTATTTCATCTGGACCAGAACCTTTGGAAGGATCGAGATCCAACATTTTCTTCTTTATTTCATCTTCTTTAAAGATGTGAAATGAGAGATGGGAACCAAATTTTACTGATTCCAAGTGATTTAAGTAGCAATTATCCCTTTTAGTGATATGTAATTGTCCCTGTATTTGATAATGATAATCGTGTTTTGGTTTGAGTCTTAGGTTATCATTTTCGTCTAATGTAGCAAAGGTAATAAGTTTTTGTTGTATTGCTTCAATAGGACTTAGGCCAGAGGCTTTTGTGGGACACTTTAGCTTGATAAGGCCATGTGTACTGACTAATTCATCTGGACTTGCTGCCAAAGCGCAGCACTCGTCGTCAATAAATAGTTCGCAAGGGTGTACTTTTAATTGAAACTCATTTTCAAATTGTTTTATTGCAAAGGCTTCTTTTTCTGTGCTATATTTTGTATTATTGTTTCCCCTAAAATCTGAATATAGCAGTTGCTTAACTTTATTCTGACAATTTGTTTTTGGAAGCATTTTGCAAATTGAACCAAAATTTGACGCAGTAAGCCGTATGCTTCTTTCTTGACTCCATAATGGGTTTCCTCCTTGGCCTCTAGTATTTATTTACAATTCGATTATTTCACTTCTGTTTTTTTTTTCAAGATCTCTTAAAAATATATCTTTTTGTTCCTCATACTTCTTTTCATCAAGATCTTGTTGTATGTCGTGTGCTTGTCCTTTTTTTAATTTTCTCGATATACTTTTAAGCAGCACCAAAGGGACTTTTGTTTGCAATAGTTTTAATGATTTCTCTGTGATATTCTCCACTTCCAACATTAAATCATAAAGCAGCTGCTCTCACCTTATTTGGTAGGAACCTTTTTTTGAGAAATCCACTCGTTTTCCTCCAACAAACTTGCATACAATAGAATTGTACTGCTCAGCAATATTAGTGTCCTTATTGCGTAATAAACTTGCTGCATGAAAAATTAACCTATTAAGACACACTTCAATATCTTGCAGTAGACCACAAGCTATCATTTCGGGAATCATTATTTTGTAAATGCTTACGTAGACATGGGGGAACCGGCCTATTTGTCGAATTACCTACTGTGTTTCTTCCCTGGAAAGTAAAATGAATATAATAATATTAATAAATTCTGTTCTATTTCATAAATATGATATTTAAAGTAAAATAACTTACCACATAAATTTTCTAGTTTCTTTATTGCGGAAGAAATATTGACATAAATGCCTACCTTTTATACATAATATAATAATACACATTTACCTACCAATCCATAGTTTTGCGTATAAACCTATCCTTTCTCTTTTTTTTTACTACTGTAAACATTTTTTTTGTCATCTTTAAATTTCCCCATTCCTAAAAACTAATATACAAGTTTGTTGGCGCTTTAAATCAATAATAATACTACCGATTTACCTACCTTATAGTACACAATATGTATTTAATAAAAACATTTTTGTACAAAAGTTTAAATCACTAGAAAACGCCTTAATCAGTTGCATAAATAGAAACAAAACCAGCACTGTCTCCGCGCATCGAGCTTCTCTGTGAAGCAGTGTTGCCCAATACTTTTTAACGTAGCGAATACCAAGATTAGGACGAATTTATTCATGAATTTTGAATTTCCGGTTTAAAAAATTTGTTATTTGCATTAGATAGTTTATGCTTTGGAGAAAAGTTATTGAAAATTGTATATCTAGACTGCTCTGGAACGTTTTTCCCTAAATGTGAAATAATAAAAAAATTAAAATTCAATAAGAAATTATTTAAAAAATATACGACCAGAGCAGTCTTAAGAAAATTATTTTGAACCCGACAGTGAAAACCGCAATCGAATAACTTCAAAAACAAAGCCAAAAAACAAGTAACAGGATTTAATGCCTGATTAATGCTCTTAAATAAAAACACATCGTTTCTTGTAAATATTGGTAAGAAAACACCTTAGACATGAACTTGTCAAATTTAGTTGCATTAAAATATTAACTGGTAAATCAGACAACAATGCTAATTGTACCAAAGTAGTGTGAGGTCTTCGACATTGTAAGTCTGTTGTTCACTTAAATAGACGACAGACATAGGATTTATTAGAATATAATAATTCCCCAAATGGCCACTAACGGTAAAGTGGCCACTAATGGTGATTGTGCCATATTTAAAAACATTTTGCGTTAAATATTAAGTAACTCCTTAAAACATTTTCATGTTTTATTAACATACTGTACATCTAGTCTATGATTTTTATGTTTTAAACTATTTTTTATAAAAAAAATACAAAAATTGGCACCAAAAAAATAGCTGCCGATCGATATTTGACGGCAATCTGCTGCGTCGGTGTCACATATAAGTTACGTGTCCCCTCTCTTTCTTGGTCTAAGATATATAGGAAGACATTTTTGTTAATATTTTTGTTTGTTTGCAGGTCCTCTGGTAACTTCGGGAGCGCGGGGGCCCGTTCAGCCCCTGGTACTCCCCAAGAACAAGTGCTATGTAACACCCCTGGAAGCACTCTATCACCTGACACACTTTCCAATGCTTCTTCTCCCACGGTCACCACAATCCAGAGCAGTCCAAGTCACGCACAATTCACCAAATGTGATAAGTAAGTGTATTCCCTCTTTTTCGCCTAAAAGACTCGTCCAGTGATTGTTTTAAATATTTTTAAATCATGTTAGCTCGATTACAAATTATGCAAGAGGTTTTTAAATTTTGTGACACTTTACAGTGGGAAACATCAATTTTGTGGTAATTGAGAACCTATCTATTTCATGCTGATGAGTCTCCTAATAAAAACTAAACAGGTCTGAGAATGATGTTTGCCTTAATAAGCAAAATCAAAAGTGGAGTGTTAAAATTAAATTTATAAATCTGCTCTTTTTCTTTTGGATTTAATTAAATAACTCTTGCGGTAATAGTCAAAGGAGTAGTTGTTGCTCGTATTTTGTGTCACATATGGCTTCGTGATTTATTTATTTTAATTTAAAATAACAATATGGTGTATTCAGATTTATATACTATTTTAGCAAATACTTTAAGGTTTATGGATAAACGGTAACGTCACAAAAAATTCCGTTTTAAATTTGACCCAAATTATTGGAATATTCAGTATTTCTACTTAATTTGCTATTTATAATCACCCAAGAATTTTACCGTGAAAAGAGGATTTCGAATATTGGACTTATGTTCTATTTTGGGGTCGTTAATAGGGTGATGTGCTGTCCACAAATAGGTGACAGGTGACTGAATCCTCGTACCTATTTTCAGCGTACTCGAAACTCTTTGCCAAGAGAAACAAGAAATGTTCTATTTTTAATAATATTATTTAAAAGAAAGACATGGTTGTGTATCCATCAGCAAGTTTAACCCTTAACTTGATAATGTACGTCCTCACAGAAATATATCTGTGGGTATTTATGCGAGTATTTATTTTAGGGTATCAAATTTGTTCAAATTGTTCTATACAGTGAGCATCATAAGTCTTACCCCCCCTATCTAACTCGTTACTGGAGTCTTGTTAGGAAAATCGCCGAGACATGTCGATTTTTGATTTTTACAATGTACATTTTTGTATGAATAGTTTACCCTTTATTTCATCCCTTACTGAAGGAGAGCAACCCTTTCGAAAAATTTAAACGGCATGGGGTGGTGAGTGATAGCTCATTTGAAAGGAAGTTTTATTCTCTATTCAACCGTGCAAAAAATTTTGAAATTTGCTTCATTACGTGTTGATTTATTAATGTTTAAAAATACCAAAACATCAGAAACAGGAAAACAGCTATACTAACAGTGACCTTATCTAATGGCAAAAAGACTTACTTCACGTATGATTCAAAACCGATATCATGCAGGGTTGAATTTTAATTCTAAGGATGAGTGCGCTACGTTAATTTTCGTTATTCTGAAACAATAATTAGTCGAGAATTTTTTGCACGGTTGAATAGAGAATAAAACCCCCTTTCAAATGAGCTATCACTCACCACCCCGTGCTATTTAAATTTTTCGAAAGGGTTGCTTCCCTCCAGTAAGGGATGAAATTAAGGGTAAACTATTCATACAAAAATGTAAATTGTAGAAAACAAAAATCGACGTGTCTCGGCGATTTTCCTAACAAGACTCCAGTAACGAGTTAGATAGAGGGGAGTAAGACTTATGATGCTCACTGTATAGTTTTAGCATTTGATTGAAGCAGGCTATTTTTATGATTCAATCAATTTCTGGGGTTTACTCCTTATAATACTTCTATATCATTGCATAAAAATGTCGCATATTGCTAACAATTTAATAAATTTTCACAAACAAGTGATTATTACATGAGCGTTCGAAGTATTTTCAACAAATTTGAACAATGTTCCATTTTGTATGTAACCAACACCTGGCAATTAATATAATACTTATGATAAGGAATTCTAGCCGATAGCTCACATATGTGCATTTTAAATATTTTTTTTATAATATAAATCATTTTATCGTGATCTGATGAGTTTATATAGAAAAGTATAAATAGTTTATGCAATAGGAATATATACAGTGTGGAACAGCCAAATGGAATGAATTCGGTAATAAATAAATGGGGACCTGTTTGGAAAAAGACTCGGACAAGTCGATTGGTATTTTTGTTGGCGCATTTTATTTAACAAAAACTTTTTATGCAGGGTGTGTCAATACCAACTTTCTTATTTTAAATGCAAAACCCTGTATATTTTTCAATTTTTGAATTCTTCAGAAAATTCTAGACATATTTTATGTACTATGTCCTATACCTAACTGTTTCGGAAATATTAATTCTTTTCCGAATTATTGCAAAAATAAACATTAATAAAATAAAATTATTTGATTACAGAAATTCGTTACAATACACTAAAAAATTATTATGTAATACTGTTTATTTCTTGAAAACACATCTCAATGTAGGAGATGTTCAAAATGCTTGCTACGAATCTCTTGGCAACATCCTAATCTAAACGTTCTAATGTTACTCAACATCTCAGGCGTGACCGATCTAATAGCAAGCGTTATTCGTCTTCTTAAGTCCGCTAGGTCGGTGACTAAATGGAAAACATATCCAACGGCCATAAAAAAAGTCAGGTAATTCAAGAAGTTTAGTTTGTATACAATACTTTTGACATATCCCCATAAGAAAAAGTCTAAATATCAGATCAGGGGATCGTGCTGGCCATTCCATCGATCCTCGCCTCCTTATCCACCGATTTAGAAATACTCAATTGAGGAACTGGCGGACATTGATTTGGTCTTGCTGAAACCAAATTATATTAGCTGGAATTTGTGGGTTTGCTGGATCGGGATATAAATTCGTTAAAGTTGGCACGACATTATTTTGGAGCAGTGCTAAATAATTATCGTCATTCAAATTGCCACCAGTGAAAAAGGGATCAATGATGTGAGCGCCAACAATTCCTGTCCAAACATTAACCTTTTCAGGATATTGCGTATGTTCTTCTCTCATCTAGTGAAGATTTTCTCTAGACCAATAGCGGCAATTTTAACGATTAGTATGACCGTGAAGTGTAAAGGTACATTCATCAGAAAACAGAACATGTTCTAAATGGATCACCATATTATCTAACATATTCATCATTTGTTGATAAAATTGCGTTCTCCTATCAAAATCGTATTCTATGAGCTCCTGAGTTGTTATTATTTTATAGGGATGCATTTTATTTTCTTTTAATGTTCGAATAATCGATGAATGGCTAATATCGAACATTGGAGCTACTTGTCGTCTAGAAGTATGTGGGTTTTCCTGAAACTCAAGCACCATATTTAATTTGGTATCATTAGTTATTGCATTGGCAGCTGTTTTTTATCTTACAAGTCAAAGCTTGCGAAACTGCTTCTCTATGTTACTAATTGTCCTTTGGGATATACGCGGCAAATTTGGAAAATTTGTGTTCATGTGTTATCTCCATAACCAATCATCTGTATAATTGTTATTTTGTACATTTCTGTTAAATGAACCATTTTTCTGTTATGCAGTTAAGGAAATTCAAACGACTATAACACTGACAACTACTGTCATGCAGTCAAATAACAATTTGCTAAGGTCAGGCGTTTTAAAGAAAAGTAAACAAAACTATTTAAGTATAGCTTTTTTTATTTCATATCAGTAAAAATGGATGCTGAAATGGTTTTTGCTTACTTCCTCATTATCAAGACCTAAATGGAAAATAAGTATTGAGTGTGTTGTAGCGATTTCTGTAATCAAACAATTTTATTTTGTTAATGTTAATTTTTGCAATAAATCGAAAAACATTTAATATTTCCGAAACAATTAAGTATAAGGACATAGTACATAAAATATGTCTAGAATTTTCTAAAGAATCCAAAAATTGAAAAATATACAGGGTGTTGCGTTTAACATAGGAAAGTTAGTATTGGCACACCCTGTATAAAAAGTTTTCATTAAAAAAAATGCGCAGCTAAAAATACCAATCGACATGTCTGAGCGTTTTTCCGAACACGCCCCCATTTATTTATTACCAAATTTATTCCATTTGGCTGTTCCACACTGTATGATGGCAAATATGAGGAAGTTGTGCTCTTTTTCCATTTAATACTCCTATTATAAGTATTTTTATTTTAAGTCTCATTATATGGTTTTATTTATATTAATTAGATCTTTCCAAACTTTTCATATTTTTTTCTTATTCCACTGTGTTGAAAGCAGCTCTCAAGTCAATGAATGCCTTCTTCTTCTTTTATCGTTCTTTCCATTAGTCTTTTTAAAATATATATGTTGTCATTTGTCTCTCTTCCTGGTCTGACAGCTACTTGTTCCATAAAACACTTAATGTTTTATTGATTTATTTATATTGACACGATGTCAAAGGATGGCTTTAAGAATAATTTAGAGAGCTGGAATGGAATGAGAATTTGTGTGGAACGACGGGATTCTGAATCTGAGGTGACCTAATTGGTAGGGGCGCGGACGCCACGCATTCTTTCTTTGTTTACACTTTGGGGATATAAGCGAGTAATTTTCATATTTTCCCAGGGGAATTAGGAATTTTTAATTTTCACAATTTACATATCTGCATTATTATTAATTTAAAAACAACATATTTTTATTTAATCATTACAAATATTCAAGAATAGTTTTTCTTTCACGAATGTTTTGAACTGTAATAATTATTAGATGTCATCATTATAAGTTTCGCCGAACACGTTCCACAAAACTTTTTTAATTCATTTAATAATGAATGAAACTCCCATGACATTGAGAACATTTTCTAGGCGCTAATTTTCCGTTTGAATATTTTATACCAAACGATAAGAAATTGGGGGCTGGGATGTACATAATCAATTTTTGTATATAATGATTATAGTATGAAAACACTCAATTACGGAATTTATATCTACTTGGGGTTGGTTCAATTTCTGAAAATTTTTCAAATTATTATTCTCTAAACTAAAAAGAAAACGAACAAACTAAAGTGATAAATTTTCTTTATTGTAACCTGACAAACTGGGCCCCAACTTAGTTTTTTAAATATTTAAAACCTTGACCTAAAATACGTCGTACTAGACTCCTATGAAGTGATTTTTGTAGGACCCCAAAATTACGTTTAGAGTTCAATGTAGCTG